TTGGAGTTTGCAGTTGTGCAGTTGTCTAATTAATAATTTCATACGCGTCTTCTTCTTGTAATCTCTTATAAGGTTCAATTGAAAACGGAGCCTTTCTAGTTCAATTCTGTCTAGTTGCGTAAGCTGATGGAATTTTGGTATAAACTAGTACAATTTTAGTGTAAACATGAATTATAATTGAATTTGTGTAAAACTCATAATTACACTAAAAACATATTAGTTTATTATCAAATTGTGTCAATTTATACAGTTGGATGAAATAGGACAAATCCTCTACTGGAAAGGTTCAGATCCCAATTCAAATTCAATCAACTTCGGCTTTCTCTTTCTCATTAGGGTGATCATCTGATGTAAATAATTCCCTCTTACCCAAATTCCGTGTATAGCTTAGTTAGGTTTCCTTTCCCATTTGATTAGAATTATTTTATTTGTAGCCCCTTTTCACCAAAAAAAAAAAGGTAACTAAGGAAAAATCGTATGGAAAATGTTAGACTAGACTACAAGAGTAGGAAAGATTCCTTCATATTTTGTTTCACACGCAATGGTAAACAGCATGTGTTCATGGAAAGGGTGTGGGTAAAGAAAAAATCATTTTCAAACTTTGACCGGTTCGATGGAGGGTTGGTGGCAAATACACCAGTATTGGAACATTAGTGGGGGGAAAAAGGGCTGAGGAAATAAGCTTATAGTTACGACTTCGGAATCCAGAATAGGTTTGACTTGTCAGCTGGTAGTGGTTGGTAATTTTATATCGAAAAGTAGTTAGGTAGAAAAATTCAAATTATGGGTTGCTTCCAGAATATTTTAAGTCCTAGATCTATACTATAGCTAGGATTAGAAGATAGAATATGTTCGATGAATTTCTATTGCATCTTTTTCACAGAACATGAAAGGGAATTTCTATTGACACTTTTATTGACTTTGGAATACATGAATTAAACAAAATAACGTCAGCTGTTTCGTTGCATTTACAATCGCTTCGTTTTGTGATAATTTATCCAAAATAAATGTTAAAAAAGTCATAGGGTTAGGCGTGCTATTAATAAATGTAGGGGTGTTAATAATTATATCCAGACATATCAATTCAGAGTATTTATGAGAATCTAGATTCATGGTCCTCTAATGTGGCTATATGCAACTTGTCGCGTTTCCTACTAGTTTAATCGGGAAATGGGACCTCTCTAATTCTAGTTTAATTATGCAACTGATACCATTCCGGTGTAAACGTGAATTATAGCTGAGTTGGTGTAAACTAACGATTATACCAAAAATATATTAGTTTACACCAAAATTATACCAGTTTACACAACTAGACGGAACCTCAATTGGAGAGGCCTCGGATCTGTTTAATTAAATTGAACAATCTAGAAGCAACTAATTATCCACTGATTCATGGATTTCATATCGGGGTTGTGATTAATGAATTGGAAATTCTTACGCTGCAGGTTCATGGAGTGTTGAATGTAGTGAGTTGGGGAATTTTGATGCCGCTTGGTGCTGTGATAGCAAGGTACTTGAAGGTGTTCAAGTCAGCTACTCCAGCCTGGTTTTACTTGCATGTTGCTTGCCAAACTTCTGCATACATCGTTGGTGTTTCTGGATTGGGAACAGGTCTCAAACTTGGCGATGAATCTGGAGTTTCACAAGACACCCATAAGGCCATTGGTATTACTATGGTCTGCCTCGCAACAGTTCAGGTACCTATTCTTTCTTTAGATAGGTGTTCTCAGAAATCTTGTGACACTTTTTATCTCACTTATACTCATTTCAAGATGGCGTTACATTAAAACTATTCCAGCAACACTCTAAAAATCTACGATCCAAAGGGAGACTTTTTTTTTTTGTTTGGAAGGGGGGGGGGGGGTTATATTTCGTACATACCGGATAAACTTCCAAAAACAAAAAATTATGCTGTTAGTAGATGAATAGATTGATCGAATACTTAGCGCTAAAAGAGAACCTTTTTTTTTTAGAATTATTCACCTTTTTTTTTTTTGGTTTATAGCTTTGGAATTTGGCTTCATTACAGAGTACCTTAGCCAGTTTCTGAAATTAAACAACTTCCTTTACAAATTAGTAGGAGAAAAGAGAGGCTTCCCTGTAGGTACAATGTAGGAATTGAGTATATACTCAAAGATTTTATTATCAATTATTCATTAATAAAGATAACTACGCTGCAAGGTGCTACATATCTCTTCTTTTCCTTTTTTTTTCTTCTTTCTTTAATTAGTTTTGTTGGCTATGTTCTTGTAGGTATTCGCCTTGCTATTGAGGCCAAAGCCAGATCACAAATACAGATTTTATTGGAACATCTACCACTATGCCGTTGGCTACGCCGTCATTACTCTCAGCATTGTAAACATTTTTAAAGGGTTTGACATCTTGAACCCTGAAAAGAAATGGAAGCATGCATACATTGGTATAATTATAGGAATTGGAGCCATGGCAGCTTTCCTAGAAGCTTTCACATGGTTTATTGTCTTGAGGAGAAAAAGGGTAGGTGGTGGCTCAACCAATAAATACCCTCACAACTCCGACGGTGTAAATGGAGCTAATGGCTATGGGGCCAGGATACAGCAGGCAGTGTAGCTGACGTTCGTATTGATGTCTACCTTGACTCTTGGACTTGTTATTTAGTTATTTCTTCACATGCTTTTGGTAGCTAGTTCTAGTTTTGATATGTATTATATATATTGGGAGAGTTTATGTTTGTTTTTTCGTATTATTGACTTAATTTCTTTTATATTGATTTTGTGAATAATGGTTAGAATATATGTGATGCATTCTTGTATTTAGAGGAAATAATGGGAATGCCTTCTTTTGTTTCCGGTAAAGATATTCAATGTCCACGTCCTTTAGACCATGAATTGATATGGACCACAGAGAAAGGAAATCAGGGGGATGATCTATTAGGATGGCTAAAATATAATTTGATCATGTAGCATAATTCTTGGCGTGATAAAATATAACTTGAAATGGTAAACTTTACTAGTTTCAGAGAAATTGTCATGAGAATAAGAGTAGGTAAAAGGTGTAGGTAAAAGGTGTGTACCCTAAGACTATTCTCTTTAGGGCAAATTATCCAATTGACCCTTGAACTCTTTGTCTAAGTAAAAATAAGTTCTTTATCTATTTTTTGCTGACTTTAAGCCCTCGAACTTGTAAAATTGGGCACCCGTGACCCTTTTAGCCAGTTTCTCCGGTTTTGCAACCGGAAGGCTAATTCACACGAATGTCAATGTGCTTTTCAAAGGGCATTTTTGTCTGCATTTTCTAAGCAAAAAGAAACAACTCCTCTTTCTTCCCTCCACCTAACTTAACCTAACCCACGCCTAAAATCCCACAACAAACTAGACCCCGCCGCCAACTCACCTCCCAACCAGACTGCAGCTCGTCCGAGCCCCCTCATTTCTCGACTGGGTCAAGTCCTTTAACTTCTCTTCCTACGTCTCCGAGCAGCCTGACCCATTTCGTGCCGTGACCCAGAAATCCGACCCACGTGAAGAGCAAAAGCAAAACAACGTTGCGGAGGAAGAAGCTTTGCTGGAGAGTCATCATCATGATGATCACATGATGAAGAGCAAGTTGGAGATGCGGGTGGAGGATTTGGGGGCGAATGGTAGCCCTGCTAGAAGGATGAAGAAGGAGGTAGATCGGCAGTGGCAGTACCGGAGGACCGGGAGGAGGTAGATCGGCGGCGGCCGGCGACGATGAGGGAGAGAGATGGGAGGTCTTCGAGTGAAACTGAAACGTTGACATTTGGGGAGGAGGAGCATGTGGACAAGAAAGCGGATGCCTTCATAAATCGTTTCAGACAGCATTTGAAATTGCAAAGGTTGGATTTGATTTTAAGGTACAAGGAAATGCTAAATAGGGGCGCTGGGTTGGAGAGCTAATGACACTAATCTTCTTGAGACTTAAAAAAAAAAATAAAGCCTTTTCCTCGAGTGAGCTTTTATTTACTACTACTCAAAATAAGAAGATGTTATGAACCATAACGAGTTTCCTCGTTTAAGTTTACTAGTTGTGCAGGTAGCATTAGATCTTTGGGGTTGACAATATTCTATTACCAGCTACTATGACTTTTATCTAAATCTATATATGCTGGCTCAGATTTAAACGAGGTGGGTTACATCCATTCTTGTTGAGGGAAGAAGGAGGAGTCGTTCTTTTTTGCTTAAAAGATGCGGACAAAAATGTCCTTTGAAGAAGTACACTAGCATTCGTGTGAATTGGCTTTTCGGTTGCAAAACCGGGGAAACTGGCTAAAAGGGTCACGGGTACATAATTTTACAAGTTCAAGGGTTTAAAATCAGCAAAAAATAGATGAATGGCTTATTTTTATTTAGACAAAGAGTTTAAGGGCCAATTGGATAATTTACCCTTCTCTTTATAGTGTTGCAGATTGTAATGAAAAGCAGTACACAAAATAATATTAAACAGATATTGGTCTGTAAATGCAAAGGCGAATTCGAACAAATATTTCTTGGGGTTAAAAATAAAAAAGTCCTTGTGATATATTTAATATACAAAAAAGCCTCCCGTGATTTCAAAACATACGAAACGACACCTCATATTTTGGACCAAATTATAAACTAACAAAATTCGTTAAACTTAACAGAATTCGGTAAACTTAACGAAATCTGATAAAATTAACGGTAAACTTAACGGAATCCGGTAAAATTAACAGTCGAGACCGTCATTTTCATTAAGTTTAACGAATTTTGTTAGTTTACAATTTAGTTTAAAACATGAAGTGTCGTTTTGTATGTTTTGAAATCACGGAGGACTTCTCTATATATTAGGTATACACAAGAAGACTTTTTTGTTTTTAACCCATATTTCTTGAAAGATAATGCGTCCTACTCTGATGGATTTCCAGTGAGACATGCAAGTAAGAGAAGATTTACCTTCTTCCACTCACCCTTGTTTAGAGAAAAGATGCCATTATACTTAAATTTCAAACCCAAATTCAAACGGATATTGAATGCTCAAGCAAATGCTCCAGTTAAAAGAGTTAATTAACTCTTATGTTTTTGTATTAACTAATATCAAATGTTCTTGATAGTGCCACTTTACACAGTGAAGTAAGAACTACAAATCGATCTACAGAATGTATATATTTTTGATACTCAAAAAAATTACCTATTAAGCTTGTAGCATGTCGTTAGAGGACAACCTAAGTTCAAAGGAATGTTCTGCTCTCAACTGCACACTTGATTCGGGTGATAAATTCATCAATTGGCATAGTCCCCAACTCCCCGCCATGCCTAGACCTAACAGTTACAGTTTGTGTTTCTGCCTCTTTGGGGCCAACAACAGCCATCAATGGGATTTTCTGCTTCTCTGCATTTCTAATAAGCTTAGGCAAACGCTCCCCACTGCAGATTTCAGTCCGAAGACCGTTAGCTTTCAATCTCCTCCATATCTCGTTGCAGTATTCAAGCTGGAAACAAGAGTGCAATCACAAATTCATGAAAATTCCAAAATCCAAGATTGACACTATAAGTTTTCTATACAATTTTGCGCAACCAATTAAGATTAAGCAGTTTAACAGAAGTCAAATATCCATCCCTAATTCCTTTTGACTTAGTTTCCTTACCCTTCTTCTCAGCAACAAATGAGAAAAGAATACATATTAAAGCAAGGTTTGACTATAGGCTAGCTTCCCCAATGCAAACAAACCGTTTAATTCTCACCTAGCCTTGCAACTAAGCCCCCAATATATCTGGGACAATATAAAGTGGCAAATACCTGTGCATCTGTGACTGGTAATATCCGAGCTTGGGTAGGAGAAAGCCACAAGGGGAAATCACCAGCATAATGCTCTATGAGAACTCCAAAAAACCGCTCCAAGGATCCCAGAACTGCACGATGAATCATGAGGGGCTGCTTCTTCTCTTGGTCCGAATCAACATAGGTAATGTCAAAACGCTGGGGTAAATTAAAATCCACCTGTAGGCCAACATTAAAGACGAGTAAAGGAAGTTAACGATTCATTTCTTACTTCTCTTTCAGTTGGAATGACCTCATCCCCAATGCAGTTTATCTCAAAATCGTAGTTGCTTTACGGAACTAAACCCTTCACTCTACTTTCTTAATTCAAAACTTGAATTTACTCCACTTTATATAATGATTGATGCATAATGCCACAAGTAGGTTACAGTTTCATACATGCTTAAAGATATCTTTTCTACTCCATTCATCGATACTGATTCAACCATGACCCAAGTGAAATGTGAAAATGTTTTCAAAACAGTATCAAAGATGTGTAGGCATACTGGACCAAGTACATTCTTTTTCAGTTCTTCAGTGCATGGAAGGACAAGGATCCTGAAGAAAGAAGCAAAAGATGCAGATAAACATGGACATGCACGTTGAAATATTTCAAATTGTTTTGAAAATCACATTAGCAATCTTTACCTGTATGGTTGAGCATTGCCACTTCCTTCCAAGAGCATCCTCAATTTTGAGATCAATCTTTGGACCATAGAAAGCACCACCACCTTCGTCAATCTGATAGCTCCATCTTTTATCATTTAAAGCATCCTTCAAGGCAGAGGTTGCTTTCACCCATATATCATCGTTTCCCACAGCTTTATCTGGCCTTGTGGAAAGGTTTACTTCGTACTTATCAAAACCAAATTGCAGCAATATTTCCTCTGTAAGATCCAGTACACCCCTAATTTCATCTTTTATTTGATGTTCTAAACAAAATATGTGTGCATCATCCTGGAAAGTTTACAACCAAAGCAATACCAATATAGTGAGCAACATGTTGCATCTAGAAAAAATTGCATTACAATGAACATGCATCTAAGAAAAAGTGCATAACAATTATGCGAGTCAAAGATCACAAGTACTGTAGTCCCCATCAAGTATAAATCTACCTCACATTAGAGGAAGCATTCTGCCAGCATTTACACTTCTCACAAGAAAGCATAGCTTTTAGGTAATGGATCATACTCTTTTTGATAGAAGGTGTGATCCCACCCATAAAGATTACAACTTAATTTTTCTCAGTTCAACTTAATTTTGGTTTTGAACTACATTGATATCTCTTTTATTGCATTCATAAGAAAGCATGGATGACTAAAATCTAAGTGAAAAATTAGAGACCACAAAAATCATATTAATTGTCTCCATTATGCTTAGGCATAAACATCAAAAGCACCCTCTTATTGTGTATGATCTCGTTTGCTGAGGAAACTGTCACAACATCTGCAATTGACCCTCTGGTTCTTCATGCAATTCAAGTAAAAGGCATGAGACTGTCAGGAATTTAGCTACATTGGTGAACCCATAACAAAGGCCAATCATTTAAATAGTTGATGTCTGTAGGCAAAGGAACTGCACCTGGGTAAAACCTCTCACACGGAACAGGCCATGCAAGCTACCAGATAATTCATATCTATATACCGTTCCAAGCTCTGCAACCCTGATTGGAAAATCCCTGTATGAGTGTAACTTCCTTTTGTAAACAAGTATATGGTAAGGGCAATTCATTGGCCGAAGCTGATAAAGTTCTTCCTCAATCTCCATCTGATCAAACATATTTTCTTTGTAGAAATCCAGATGACCACTGATCTTCCATAGATTTGCCTTCGCCACATGTGGAGTGTAAAGTAGATCATAACCACGTTGAATATGAATCTTCTTCCACGCATCTTCTATAATATGCCTTACAACAGCACCCTTGGGATGCCAAAACACTAACCCTCCACCCGCTTCATCCTGGAGTTTTTAAATTGACAAATTTATGCTTTATGATCCATGGTAAATGCAGCAATCAAGATACTTCACAAGTAAGGATAGCATGAGGAACCAACTAGCTCAAACTACACGGACATGTATAACTTGTCCTACCTATACCTGTATAGAGAACAGATCAAGATCTTGTCCAATCCGCCGGTGATCCCGGCGTTTTGCTTCTTCTTTAAAATGAAGGTATGCTTTCAATTGTTCTTCATCTTCCCATGCTGTACCATAGATCCTTTGTAGCATTGGCTTATTTGTGTCTCCTCTCCAGTAGGCACCAGCAACTGATTCAAGTTGAACAGCTTTCCTTCTAATATTTCCTGTAGATTCAACATGAGGCCCAGCACAAAGATCCCACCATTCATTGCCTGGTATAAAGACAGCGAGCAGTGAGTATGAAAATAAACAAATGAAAAGAGCATAGGTTTATAAGGACGAGGTCAGTGTGCAGATTAGTACATCCAGCAGATTATGTAGACATCATAATAACTCATTCCTCCTGTCTTACAATTACAGAAGAACTTCAGAGCAGCTCATTAAAAACACCACACTGATGTGCCAAGTATTTCTGGCCACTAAAACGAATCAATTATCTTCAAATGCTATAATTAACAACTGTATTTCAAATTTCTTTTGTCTTTAATAGTTTGAAGTTCTGCAGCAGCTACCCCACCTAGAATACACGACCCTATAACCAGAAAGTCCTACAAGCTTCATCAAATCCTACTGATTTCACATGGTTTGTATTTTCTTAATAGGACCTATTTTCAACAAGAACACTATGCGGGATTAACCTAAAGGAAACCCTTACTTTTCAAAAATTGGGTGTGCTTTGACTGGATCTATTTCCTTTTCAATTTCCTTTCAAATATCAGAGATAATAATTCTTTTTTACAACCCACTTACAGTGTCCAACTAAGCTCAAGCATAGCACAGTTAAATCAAATTCTGGTATGGACATTGCAATACTTCTTCACTTCATTCTCTCCTTTTCTTATCTCTACCCTCTCTCCAAAGGTATATAAATAATCAGACACAAAGTCGAAGCTATAACACTTCACAGCATTACAACCTAGCAGAGCCTTGGACCAAATACCAAGTTTCCGGGTAAATTAGTTCATCAAAAAATTTTATCAGATTCTGAACCAACCAAAGTACGTATCACTGAGACAAATGCAAAACTCTACTCATATGCAGAAGTTCCATTAAAATTCTAAATATTCTTTCTATAACAAATAACTAATACAATAACAGCCACTTCAGATGACAAGTGCTGCAAGTGATGTGTAGGCATGCAGAAAAACCCCACAAGATTTGCAAAACACAAGCACTATGACAAATTTACCACGGGAGGACAACAAAATTCCCAACAGTTTGAAAAGCAAATAAGTTTAAAATATAACTGAAGATAAAAGTTGGAGGACAAAAACCTCAAGCCAGGGGAGGAGAAGGGGCTAGGAGAAGAGAGGGGGCAGGCAAGAGGGTTGGTTGGATTATTTGAAGGGCTTTACCAATATGATATATGGTGATAGGTTCCTCCTTAATGCTTTCCAAGATTTCTATCTTGTAAGGTTCATTGACAGCAAGTATCCTTCTTTGAGCTTCATCTCGGCTAACTTCTTCTCTAATTAGTGGTAAGTTTTGCCCAATGATACGATCCTACAGATGATTCAAGAAATAAATTCTGTACCCAGAAAGTATAGAAAATGAATATTATTCAGCACTGTCACAGTGAACAACACCCATATAACAGAAAGGGAAAAAAAACAAAATAATGAGCCTGCTTACCATTTCCTTCTTGATTTTCTTGAGGTCTTTGTCAGTTAATGGCTCCATATCAAAGTCATAGTAAAAACCATTTTCAATCCATGGACCAATTGTCACTTTTGCATCTGGGTAGAGCCTTTGAACAGCCATAGCCATCACATGTGCACACTGCAAAAAGAAGTTCTTTTCAAACAGGCAGAAATTCTGCAGCTAGAGTTCTGTACTTTCTTCTTCAGTCATAGGGTATCATTGAAGTTCTTTTTGCCAGTTCAATATCTATAACTCTTAGTGCGCTTGGAAATAAATAGAATGATAAAAGGAAAAGTAAACAAAACTAAGAATGAGTAAAATGAAAATTCAGAAAGGAAGAAAATACACAAAACACCACATTGTTGTTTTTTTTATTTCATACTGCTACCTGCTTTTTGTAAGCATTGAGGTTGCTGAAAATGGATTGTGCAAGAAAGTTGGTTTTCCAGATCTTTCATCACAATGTACCACATCTCTGAAGTGCAATATGTGTTAGAAATACGAACTCCAAAATTCTACTCTAACTGAAATAATAATCAACTGCAGTTTGGGTTCCCACTTTCTAACATTGTAAAAGCAATGACTCCCAAGTTGCTTTTCCAGAAAATTCTTTGTAAGGGAGACATCAGTTACATTTCTTAGATTCCCCTAACCAATGTGGTTCCTTCTCCCACTTGTGCAGTTTGAAAATGCCAAAAAAGGGGAAACATACATGATTTTGTAAAGCTACAAGACTCCCATAAAATCGTGGCAATAAAAGAGAGGATTATCAGATGGAAATAATCTACTCATGGAATTAAGGAATCTTCATTCTTTATAAATTTTACCATAGTTGCAAATACACTGCTTCAGATCAAAAGTCTGTCCGCAAAACTACTTTCATCTGCTCCATCCCAAAGACAGAAATATTTGAGCTTATTTTTGTGATAAAGTCACCCAATACAAAATTTAGTTAAAAGGGACCGGAGGCAGACAAAGCCTAATGCCTTCGAGCAGTTTGATTTGGTCAATCAGCCGCGAAGTATAGTCATATAGACATATAGGACAAGCGAATGAGACAGATGTAGGCTGCTTCTACTGTTGTGAGGAATTAACAGCAGGTTAATACCAACAGGAGTTCAAGTGTAGAACAAATTGTTCCCTTCTCATTGCTCTAGAATCAAGCATAATTCGGACACACCTGAGTCTGCCTCCTGGAGGCACTCTGATGTTGCACTCGGTAAAACATTAGGGAAAGGACTATCTTGATGCTGAAGCCCATCCCTAAAGCATTCCGAGTGAACTTCCACTTGCTAACAGAAGATCTGCCACAGTTAATGCATAAGCCATGCCAAGACACTCTAATCCTCCCCAGCTAATGTCAATATCTGCATGAGCTCACCATCTTTGGTGGCCCAGAATAATTGAGAAACTATACATTTTTTCCCCTTCTCTACAATTGAAAGACAGACCAAATGAAGGTAACTTAACTGCTTATCTATGTGTTTAAATAAACAAGAATCCTTTGACCAAAATATTCCTTGATGCTCTTATACCTGGAAAAATGAACATCTCTAAACCACTTGTTCCCCATAGGCCACACAAGAATGGGTTGAGTTTCTTCCATTTTCAATTCTTAAAAAAAAAAAAAGAGAAAAAACCATCAGTGATCACAATCACAAGAAAACCTTGATGAGTGCACTTTTAGCTATATCAATAGCAGCTTCACATTCCATAATATATTTTAAAGCCAAATAGCTGTCTCCACACCCCATTTACCTCCAAACTTCTACCAGCTTAGCCTTTCTGACAGACTAAGTATCGTTACTGCTAATTTTTTTTTTCTCTTTTTGCATTTACATGATTGCAATATTTGTCTTCACATGCTCATGATATCCTTTTCACCACTGCTTATCTATGTACTGTAAAGAGTTTGTTCATTTTAAAAAATAACAATAATTGTTAGGAAACTAAAATTATCCCACATTGATATACCAAGGATTGCCAGCCATATGTATAAAGATCTTGGGCCACTCCACTCATTGCCAATTGGTTTTGAGATGGAAGCCCAAGTTTTTTATTGTGGTATCAAATTCCGGTTACGACAACTCCCCCAATATTAGGGTCCAATGTAGACACTCAGATGAAAGGTTGATGCTGTCCCAACCTAGTATCCGGAGTGTAATGGGGGAGATTGTTGAGTTTATCACACATCAATTGTAGAAGGGACAGGGTGCTTTGGTTATAAGTATGATGGAAAACCTCACCCCTTGAGCTAGTTTTTGGAGTAAGAAGGCCCAATAGCACCCTGCCTCTTCCACAATCAATTGGTTATAAGTGTGAGGGAAAGCCTCACCCCTTGAACTAGCTTTTGGGGTGAGAAGGCTTCCTGCCCCTTCCACAATCGATGTGGGATAAACTCAACAATCTCCCTCGTCACACATCGGGCACTAAGTTGGGATAGCATCAACCTTTCATCCGAGTGTCTACATTAGGCCCTTGTATTAGGAGAGTTGTTGTAACTAGACTTTGTTACCATGATAAAGAACTTGGGCTTCCATCTCAAAACCAATTGGTAATGTGTGGAGTGGCCCAAAATCTTTATATATGGTTAGCAATCCTTGGTATATCAATATGGGACAATTTTAGTTTCCTAACAATAATAATTGAGAAACACCCAATAGACACTAAATATAGGGCAATGGTCAAAAATCCATTCCAGAATAAGGTGTCCAATATGACAGCATTCTCTCTACCAGGGCTTCGGCACATATCCACATTTGGGATATCCCTGCTTTGACCAAGATCTTTGGGGATGATTAGCTTCTTTGACTCAATATCTAAAGGATTTATCAGGAACTCAAAAAAAATAGAGATAAAAGATTCTAATTTTCTAATGGAGTTAATTTATCTAAATCTTTGACAACAGTAAAGAGACATTGTTCCAACTGTTTGAGTCAGCAATGGTTAGCTTTAGTGATAATGAAATTCTCGAGCATCCTATGAAACCTCAACAATCGTTGCACTGGTAAAATTGAAAACCTCCAATGCACTCAAAGCAAAGTGTAGCTGCTTCCGCATTTTATTACAGGAGTTCGTCACAAGTTCCATGAGGGAAAAAACATTGATCGTTGTTCAATTTATAAACTTCTCGCAAATGCCGCTCGTACCTAGACTACAATAATTCAATTACTTTTGATAAACCTATACCAAAGTTAATGACATTTTTTATCAAATAGCTTAAAATATCAAAATAAAAATGTCAAAAGAAATGTAAGTCACAATTATTTCAATTTAGATAATTCAATAAATAGAAAAAAAATTGGAGTTATTATTGACATAGTACCTTACATTGCATGATATATATGTCCTAAAAGATAACAACATAGTTTTATTTTTGTCATTAGCCATTGTTGTCAAGTAGATGGCGTAAGTCATCTACTCAACAAGGACGAATTGGTTATTTGTTAGTTAACGCTCAAAAGGTTTAAAATATACTCAATATTTAACTGGATTTCTTAGGAGTCCATCTCAATGAAGGTCCTTTCAATAGATTGGCATCCTTTAATATTCATTTCAAAATTAAACAAAAGAAAAAAGCCTTCTTCAAATGGATGTATATCACAAGAAGACCAATCATAAATGCTGCAATCTATGCTTAAATTCATGTTGCTTCATCATAGATCATAAACTACCTATAGATTTGCAAAAAATTATACTTCACCTTTTTATATGTAGATCTTCATGTTTGAGCTAAATTGACTAATGACACTAGTTAGCCCTATTAATTATTGCCCTTGTATGCTGTTACAAATAGCTTCTTAGGGTAGTATTAATAAGTTGCCTGTTGGGTTTCATTCAGCTTTCTAACATTGATCGTTGTTCAATTTATAAACTTCTCGCAAATGCCGCTCGTACCTAGACTACAATAATTCAATTACTTTTGATAAACCTATACCAAAGTTAATGACATTTTTTATCAAATAGCTTAAAATATCAAAATAAAAATGTCAAAAGAAATGTAAGTCACAATTATTTCAATTTAGATAATTCAATAAATAGAAAAAAAATTGGAGTTATTATTGACATAGTACCTTACATTGCATGATATATATGTCCTAAAAGATAACAACATAGTTTTATTTTTGTCATTAGCCATTGTTGTCAAGTAGATGGCGTAAGTCATCTACTCAACAAGGACGAATTGGTTATTTGTTAGTTAACGCTCAAAAGGTTTAAAATATACTCAATATTTAACTGGATTTCTTAGGAGTCCATCTCAATGAAGGTCCTTTCAATAGATTGGCATCCTTTAATATTCATTTCAAAATTAAACAAAAGAAAAAAGCCTTCTTCAAATGGATGTATATCACAAGAAGACCAATCATAAATGCTGCAATCTATGCTTAAATTCATGTTGCTTCATCATAGATCATAAACTACCTATAGATTTGCAAAAAATTATACTTCACCTTTTTATATGTAGATCTTCATGTTTGAGCTAAATTGACTAATGACACTAGTTAGCCCTATTAATTATTGCCCTTGTATGCTGTTACAAATAGCTTCTTAGGGTAGTATTAATAAGTTGCCTGTTGGGTTTCATTCAGCTTTCTATTTATGATGCGGGTAGAAGCCCAAGAGGGAAACTCATAATTCAATTCATAATTTATTTATAAGTGAACCAAAACAACACCAAGTGCAGGGAGGCTGGGATAGCACAAAATGTAAGATTCTAAGATAGAATTTAAGAAAAGGAAACTCTCATTGACACCCCAAACAAGAATTGAAAGTAATCCAACACAATGTTGAAAAGAGAAATTCGTATAAGTCTAACTCTAAGCTAAAAGTCTTATCTAAAAAGGAGTCCCTCTCCTCCAAGTAAATAACTAAACTGCAAACACAAAACATGAATCCTGAGGCTGAAAAAAAAATTTAAAAAAAGGAAACAACAAGTCCTAATGCAAATAGTCAATAAAGTACAACTACATCAGCAGCGCCGGTACTCATGAATAATAATTTGTGAACGTTAAATTTCCTTGCATCACATTAATCACATTCTAACAATTGCTTTATACTTTGACCATGGAAGAGGACCATCCAACTAAACTGGAATGATGAATCTCCATTCATCATCTGCAACCTCAATATGCTGCAATAAGATCACATTTCCAGCAGCAGAATCTGATTTCTGTGATGGTACTCTTATCATTCCTTGAAGATGTCGCAGAAGTAAAGGACCATCTCATAATACCCTTGCTTCTTTAATTTCATTAATTTCTCCTCTTAAAAGCCTATAATGCTTCAAATTAGTAGAGTTTCAGTTTTAAACTCCGAATATCCTGTCAAATGAGTCATAAAACATGAATATTTACATGTGTAAAGACCAATTCATTGTCAATTTAATCACTGGAAAATCAACACATTAAAAAAATATATGTTTGAATCAACAACTCTATAATTTTCCTACACTTGACAAAATTCAAAATTTCCAAAACCAGGATTCTCCCACTTTGTTTTACCCCACAAGACAAAAAGAAAAACTCTAAAAAATTTCTCTTGCATTTCTTTTCTTCCCACCTTAGCTACTATGTACAACTGTTTGTAACATATACAATTCATTATCTCATTTAATTTTCCACATATTGCTACAGATAAAAGTGGTCTAGATGTTCCCCACTATCTCTTCGCATTTCACTTAATTGATACAGTAGATTTCAATTTTTTAACGTCACCTAATTGAAGTACAATTACTTTCAATTTCATCCCTTATCAATACTCATGTCGCGTCACACCAAGACATTCAACTTGAATCCAACAGAGAATATGATTAATTCCCAAATAACAGAAAATTTCAACCACCTGGTGCATATTACCTTTGCGCATCATATCAAATGGACAACATCCAATTGCTTCTAGCTACTAATTATTTCACCCAAAAATCACTATGCCAGATCAGCATATATCCATATAATAAACTAACAAAAACCATAAAATCTTTTCCAGTGTAATCTCAGTTTCTTACTGTATGCCGAATTCTTAGCAGTATCTCTGATGATTCGTTAGTTGGAAGCACGACTCTGCCCTCAGGAGATGAAACCCCATCCTTTTTCCCTTCTTCTGTAGACACAGCAGCAGCAGTGGAGCCCGAAGAATCAGTCGCCAAAGCCCAGGATAGGGGAACTCCATTCCTCTTGGTTCCACAAATTTCACCACTTTTACTGCTAGAAGTCCTACTGAAAAATGAAAAATTGATTACAGGTTCTGTGCTCCGTGGGATAGAGGAGGAGAAAACGGGAAGTGGGTTTGACAGGAGTCGGAGAGAAGGGGTTAGTAGAGGGTTCAAGGAGGAGTACAATGATGACGCCATGCGGTGGGGGAGAGAAGCCACCATTGAGGATGGTTTGTTGGTGGCTTTTCTTGGTGTTCGGTAGGATTTTGGTGGTGTGGCTCTTAGCTGTGTGGCGGAGGTTAGGGGCAATTAAGCAAATCACGCATAATAGCCCCAGGGGCCTCACAAGATTTCTCACAAGTCTGTCCGTGGTGTAATTTACCCAACAAAAAATGTAATTCACAAAAAAAAAATATTGGTGTAACAAAATATTTATGCTAATTGCCGTGAAAAAATGGAGTAACAAAAGTTAAAATTACTAATTTACCTTGAAATGGGGGTAAATTGGAATTTGGGAGGCCTAGATCCACCTTTATCATGTCATATGTTATCCAAGAAAATTTTAGAATACATTTTTAGGCAAATTTCATGGATAGGAATAGGATGAAATGCACCTTATGGATGGATGAGATGAAAGGGAACAAAGGGTTAAGGCAATCACCATAGCTATGTTAATGGGTGGAGTATTAACGAAAATCCAACACCCGCGAGATTACTATTTATCTAAGTAAATCTGGTTCTTTATGATTGAAATCCAAATCTAAACCCAAATTTTGGGTTTTGTATGATTTCTATTTAAATCTAAATCCAAATTTAGACTTTACCGAGACCTATTTATATGCATATATGTGACTATGTCTTATGATATATTGGTAATTAAGGATACTTTTTTTTTATATTAGCTTGAAATGGCTAACATTTTTTTCCCTATAAATGAATGTCATTGGTTAATTTAAGTAAGTAAAATTCTAATTAAACAATAGGATAGATATCCAAACATAAACATTGTACACATGCGTGTTTTTATATTGAATTAATATGTTTAAAGGAAAAAGAGAAAAAGAAGAGTAGGTTTAAAAACATGCAAGATTAAATGTTAAGTATAGATGAAAATTTTTAAACAAATAAAATTACTTTGCACAAAACATTCTTGAATGCTGATTTTGTTTTCTAGAAAATCTATATAAATTTGAGAAGGGATTTTTAGCAACAAGCCTCCACATATCTTCCCACTCCCAATTCTATTTTTCTAGCATTTCACATTTAATTTAATTTATAAAATATATTTCTCTCAACTTCCACATCTACTTTTTACATTTGAAATTGTTGGTTATTTTTTTAAAATCATTTCATTTCAAATTGTTAGTTAATGTGCACGTTATCCTATTTGAACTTCAACCCATCACGTTTCTCCATTGCCTTTGCGTTATTTATGATTCTAATCCAATTAAGACTTCTATAAAACCATAAGAAGAGATAACAAATATAACATCCTTTCATGCTTTCTTATTAAATAATAAGAGGAAATGTTATTTACACTCCCATTTTTGTTATTCACACTTCAATAATCATTTTGATCATATAGTTTTTATTAATTAAACTATATGATAAAACAAATGGTGGGATTGCAAATAATAAAAAATGGAGTGCAAAAAATATTTTCCTAAGTAAGAAGTGGCTTTCTTGCCTTTCTAATTTAAATAAGTAAGAAGTGGCTCCACTTATATAGGAATTTGATTTGAAGTTTATTAGTGGGAGGATAAATAAAGAGAAAACATTGCCAAGCTTAGTAAAAGTAAAAAAGTAGATGATAATATTTTATCTTTTAACTTAGTAATCCTACCTAATAGGGCAAAATTAAATAGAAACAAAAAGAAAATAATGTCGTGGATTTAAAAAATCAAGAATGGTACCATTTATGAAATCACTAAATAAAAAATAAAGTACTACTGGCCTTTTAACGTGGAATTTTTTTTTTGAAATATTCATTTTTGATAAAAAAAAAATTAATGATAATAATAACACCAATTCTACCAAAAATTTTTAAAAAGTAACATTATAGTTTAAGAGAAAGATATAAAACATTCGACCCTAAAATACTACTTAATTTGTATATATTTGACCCAAATTTGACCCTGATTAGATTTGAATAAGAGTGCAAAACCCAAACACTAAGGATAACTTTTGGTATCATTAATTATTTTATGTATTCTTATTGCTGTCTTCATATGTAAATATGAATTTGCTATGTTAAAATATACATATATATAGATTGTAGTAGAGGATATTATAGATATTATCAGTTTTTCATTTCCATTTTTAGATGCTAATAATTGCAAGGAAAAAGAGTCCCATTGGTCGTCTAACTATTAGCCAGGTGAACTTTTGGCCCCCCAATAATTAAGAGTCAAATTTTAACCCTCGATCTATCGAAAGTGCAAAAAGTTAAACCTTCTGTCAAGTTTAGCTGTTAAAACTAATGAAAACCAACACCACGTGAGATAAATGCCGAAATACAAAGGGCATTTTAGTTCAAGCTGTCATCCACTCAGTAAAAAGGAGTAAAAATCAGTTTAACTTAATTGTTGCCTTCTACCATTCTCTCTCCCTCCACCGCAAGTGGTTGGAAGCTCCTGCAATTCGTCGACCATCATCACCAGTGCACATCTCTTGAAGCTTCCGCCGGGGAATTACAGGTTCCAAGAGGAAATGGTTGATTTTGAGCGATTTGAGTCGACAAGTGAAGGGGTTGGATCTGTTTCTGAGATGGGTTGGTGTTGATTTTGGCTGAAGTTAAGGTTTTTTGATCTTCTGGTATCTACCGGTTCCAAAAAGCTCTCTCTAGCCTCTGCCCCATCAGTCCACCATAATTGCCACATGATGTTCCCTCCACTCCTTCCTCACCAAATCCAACATGGGCCGCCTCCTCCTTCCCAACTTCTCCTCCTCACTCCCCACCCCAAAAGTCAATTCAAGAAATAATTAAGCTATTCAATCTCTGGCTCCTCTCTTCTGCTATCATGTCAAAGAAATTCATGTCAAAGAAAATGCTTCACAACAACAATAATGGAGCTAGTACATAGCGTGACGATGGTGTTCCTTGGAAGTTTTAGCTAAACTGCTGCAAAAGTGGGGGTGATTCCGTCTAAATTCTTATGACTTTGAATCACATGACAATGAAGGAAGAGCACGAAAGGTTCATAGATCTAAAGCTTGCAGCTTTAGTAACCTACTATTGGGAATTGCTTAATTTATGTCGGAGAAGCTTTGCTTAAATCATACTAAAGCTTCAGCTGCCAGGGAGATTTTCTTCCTATAGCTTTTCGTTGGGAAAGAAATCCCTTTTTACCAAATAGAAAGTTGCTGGACAGACTAAAATGCCCTTCATATTTTAGCATAAGTTTCATGTGGTGTTAGTTTCCGTCAATCTTAACGAGTGAATTTGACAGAAGGTCCAATATTTTGCACTTTCGATAGATTGAGGGTCAAAGATTTTCTCTTAATTATTGGAGGGTCAAAAGTTCACCTGACTAATAGTTAGAGGACTATTGGGACTCTTTTCCCTAATTGCAATCATTGTAATCAATTTTCAATTTTATATTTTCATTATTGTAGGTAAAGCTAAATATATTGGGTCACAGGAATATGAATCGAGAGGTTGGGTGTGGGGGGAGGAGGGAAGGAAGTGAATGGTGAGGTGTTGAAAGGTGGCGGGAAAGGTTGAAGAAGAAATGTGGGTTACAAGGATGGGAGGAGAAAGTTGAGAAGAAGAAAGGGGATTGTAGGGATATGATAGAGATGACAAAAAAAATAATAGAGAGAGTGATGCCATGATAGCAGGCACGAAAGTCGTAGGAAACATCTGATGACTAGCTGGCGGGTAAGAGATGAGGGAATTGTGATTTTTAATAATTTTGAGAACTCTAAAAACACATATTACAGAGATTCTTTTTTAAATATATGTTAAAATTTATGAAAAATGCCAATCTAAATGCAGTCAATAATTTTAGGGGCACAAGATAGGAGAAATATTTTTTTCTAAAAATGGAAGAATATAAATTGTTTGTAATTTATTTTTTTGTATTATAAGTTTTGATATATGGGTATAACATAATATATTTTGTCAAATATTGATAAATTGATTTTTTTAAAGAAAACTCCTCTCACCTTACCATCCAACCTAACCTTTTCCTTGAATGCGATAACAATTCCTCTATCATGTAAATCATTATAAATAAAATTTTTTTCAACACGTTAAGCATATATTTCTTTAAAATTTTTAGTATACATATATATTTATTATTTTGTACCACAATATATAAATATATACAATATTATTTTGATTTGAAATATAACCCGTGCATAGCATGGGTCAAAATTCTAGTGGTAACTAATTTCACATCTATTATCTTTATTTTTTTTTTGTCAAAATACATCTATTACCTTTAGATTCAAAGGTTTTTAGTTTTAGAATTGAATTTTCAATGACATATTAAGAAATACCTATCTTCTTTTATTTTTTTTAAATCATGAAAATATAGGTCTGGATTAAGCAAATACAGTCCAGACCCTACCGTTTGACATGCATAATTAAGCCCCTCATTTGGTTTGGGGTGATTTGCACTCTGTTTTCTCTCATTAATGATGTTTGCTACACTTTAGCTCTTTAACTAAAAACACATCATATGCTGAAATAAGCAATTAGAAGAAACAATACCCATGAAAAGGAAATTTGACATTTTTTAAGAAAATGGCCTTAAAAATGGGATCCGACCACTTGAAAATAAAAATAAACAAAGAAACAAACACATGCCCTTGAAATCTATCATAAAATTTAAATAAAACCATTTCAAATAAAAAAAAACCACAAAGTAGTTGCAAATAAAAACACAATTTAGTCTTAAGAACAAAAATTTGCCTTTTGAAATTTTCAAATACCCACAAAATGCATGTAGAGATTTTTATTGCAATTGTAGCTCACCCCCTTTTTATTGATACTACTTAATTGAGGCCTCGTGAGGTTGCCCAATCATGTATGAAATCGTTATAATTGGGATGTGTAATGGAATTGTTGGTTGATGAAAAAATTAAGTACATAATAGTATGCACAATACTTTTGTACCATGGAACTGATATGTAAATGCTACTAAATTACTTGTACATTATACCATTAGTCATAGTCTACAATTTTACATGTTCTTAGATATTATTGTGTACATGCTAAGTAGATACATGATGAGAGATGAATCAGATGATGCTTTGCCAGAAGGAGAGCAGTGTTCAGCTGTGCTTGCCAACAACAACTCATTCTTG